AGTGCCTCTCTAAGTCCGTTGAGAACAATCTGGACGAGCGAAACGGGTCGTGTTTATCGTTGCCGTGAATCAAGATAAAGACAAGAAAGGAATCTCGCCGAATTTTATAAATTTTCCTCCGTCAGAAGTTCAGTTTCGTCACGAAACTCATGGCCATGCTGTTGTAATCATTTAAAAAAAACCGGCCGCCGCCAACTCGATATCCGCTTCATTGTATGTCCACATACTTTGAGCACAAAAAAAATCCAAGAGCCAGCAGTCTCTAAAATAACTCAACAAAAAGGTTCTGTGAACTATAGGGAAGATTCCGTCAAAGATTCCATCTCTCATTATGGGGTAGCCGTCGTTAACTCTTTGCCATTACAACGACCGCTGATAAGAGGACACTGTAAATCCACGTAAAAAAATTCCACGGGCAAACAATTTCAAAATAACGCCAAAAATTCTTTTGTAATCACCATAGAACGATTCTTAATACAAGACTTCGCTAACTATCAAACAATGGCTGAGATTTAGACAGATAAAAACAGCCTTCCAAAATCTCCCACAGAACTTGAAAAGTCGGGCTGACTTTTTCAAGTTTGTTTTCATTAACTCGCGCATGCGTCAGGAGTGACATAGCCCCTTTAAACTGCTCGTTTTTGTTTGTTTTTTTTTTTGTTGCACAGGTGTATTAAATGTAAGCGAGAGTATCTAATTTCGACTACCTCTTCGGGTCGGTGCAACTACAAGGTTGCAGTTACTCTTTACATCCTGGGCTTTGTTGTCATTTGCCCTCTTATCCTACCCTCAATAATACGTCCGTCTTCAAAGAAAAAAAATAAAACGAATAAAAGGAAACTTGGGAACTTACTAATAGGTACTTCAGATATCATTCTACGTCATTTAAGCTGAACTAACGTTGTTAGAATACTGTTTTAAGTCAACTGGATACTTTTTCAGTGCCTTCTGGTCAATTTTTTTCCTTGTTGCCTTCCTTACATCTTTTCCTCTTTGTAGGTTATTACATGTGAATTTTTTAGAAATATTTAGTCCACAGGAGAGAGCTGGATGATATGACAAAACTGGACAGTCCTCTACCGAAAAAGGCTAAGTTGCTACTCTCTAACCATCTTCATCCTTATAAGGTTATTACATGTATATAGAAGCATCCAGACCAAGACAACCAGGTGATAACGCAAAATTGTACAGTCCTCTAATGAAATTCTTTGGGAATATGTGCCTTCAGTTCTATTACCATATGTCTGGTGCAACTACTGGAAGCCTGAAAGTCACCGTAAGTGGGAACTTAGTGTTCTCTGCACGTGGTTTTAAAGGAGGCATGTGGCGTAAAGCCAGCGTAAATGTATCAGCTATCGAGGGATTGCATACGGTAAGCGATGTGTTATTTTTGTGTCTCTTCTAACAACAACAATTAATAACAACAACGAAATCTTTATTTTTATCAACTCATTGCTTAACAATAAATTAGGATAATGAAAATATTGAAAGTAAAATTAGAATTTAAACTTTAATGACCCCATCAATGGTGGTAAAACGCTGTTCTCTGAGAGCAGTAATTGGGGAAGCCAAACGGGTTGGGAGCCATGAGCTACCAATGGCTCACTTTTTTGTTAATTTAATTGCCATTAAAGTACAGCAGCGGGTCCGGGAATTTTTTAATAAAGGGTTCCGAACTTGTGCTCGCCGTTGAAAGTATGTTACAACTGATAGTTTTCACCAATCCTGGCCATCATTCGCTGTTATTTAGTTAAATTTATATAAACTACATAGATTCCTATCTGCGATCCTTAAGTGGTTATAATTTCAGTTTTACTGAAAGCACCTTCAATAACAAGACTTTTCTGGTCTGAAGGGTGCGCAGGTCCACCATCCAGAAGACGTCTTTCGGTTCTCGGGTCTATGTTCTCCGAATCTTACTTAAGCCATAAGTTTCTGTACTTCTGTCTGTAACGTAAAAACTAAAAAAGTCGACAAGACTGCATCCGTTATTATAATACTTCATCTTTACCATTAATTTTAAATTAAGCACACATGAAATATAAGTGATGTACCATTTGGTAACATTATTTAGTCATAGCAAGATTATTCTTTCTTACTCATAGTGGTGCAAGTAAGTCCGTAAATGTAGTGCAAAATATGATGCGCTTGGTGTTTCCAAGAGGATCTGTTTTGCTATTAGCCGACATTTCCTTATTTCTGTTGTTAAGTTTGCAGTTTTAGGACAAATTCGAAGATAATTTTTCATTAATTTCAAGACATTAATAACAACAGCGACTCTTCCGGACTGATTTCACCTTTGACAGGTAACATTTGAAGGCGTAGTGGGAAGCGGTCACACTGGTGACATAGCAATTGACGACTTCTCCTTGACAGCAGGGTCATGTCCTTATGGTAAGTTTTTTTGACTAAAGGGTGCACTGTCACCTATTTTGAATTTTAAAAAAAGACGTCTTTGCAAATTTTGAGAGCGTGAAGGGCGGCCGGGGCGCTTGATAAGCAAATAGACGTGATGTTACAGGGTTCCGTTTTCTTTTATTCTCCCCGCCGGTGACGGACCTTTTCAGTTGTTGCTTCACCTACTTCGACTGCAACTATTGGCGAACTTAAAAGCTGTTTTTATATACACAGTCCGTAGTCCGTGTTTTATACTCAGTCCGTAGTTTCTAGTCTGCATTTTATACCTAGTCCGTGTTTTATAAACAGTCCACAGTATGTGGTCCGCAGTCTGCAGTCCGTGTTTTATACTGACCGGTTCGATTAGGTTCGATTGAGTTCGATAAAGTTCGATTACCGAACATTTTGAATGGTTACGTCCGCATTTAAGAGGCAATGTCCCTAAAAGCGTTCCACTCGATTTCAGACTCGAAAACACTTTTGCCTTATATTTACATCATCAATACCACTATCCATCCTTATAACTAAATTGCAGTTAGAATGAGGAAATAGTTTATTTTACTGCCATTCTCAGCATTTCATCTCTGAACGACCGTTACCGGCTAAAATATGCAAATTTTAGACGCTGTTATTAAGCTTTTTTAACGATTGTTGAAAGCTACTACGGGCCGTTAAAACCTAGACCATTTGCACTCATTTGGAAGTATATTGTTTTTTCTTACTGTTTCAATACGATTTAGTCGTATCTCTCTGTAATCAGCAAAAACAGGTTATCTTTATTCTCGTAATTCAATTAAGTAAGAAAACTGCACCAAAATAAACCTCACGAACTTCATAAAATTCTTAAAAGTGGCACCTAACCTAGACCTAAAAACGTGTTTTGGTTAAAGATAAAGAGGTATTCTATCAATTTATGTAATAAAACTTGTGGTACAACGCGATTCAGACTTGAAGTGCATATTGAGGCAGAATTGGCGTTGCGTGACACCAAATAGTTGCCGCCCGGAAGTAAAATGTTTTTTTAACCGTAAAAAATTATTTTTCTTCCTCTTCTTCCTTTTTCAATAAATATATCTGCACAAATATATTCCTAAAAGTTTAGCAGCCAAACCTTTTTAAATTTTAATTTACTAAATAAATCGTTTTATTGCTACCTTCGCGTTATGTGACACGATTTGGTGGGTTCATTCGAAGCATGGTCACTGTCGAGACTTAAGAAAAGACCAGAAAGTCAGTCATCGCATTTGCTTGTTGCAATATTTTGTTATAATTATTGATATTATTAAGCTTAAAAATAATAAAAAATGCCATTAGGCAACTTTTTTTCTCCTTTATTTACAGGAAAACTGAACGGAAGTATACACCATTAAATTTACTTACCTTTGGCACTAACCTTTGTTAGTCTCACCCTTCCGTACTTTCTTTATTCGACATACAACAGTTGCGTGTTTAGGGAATTTTTTTTTTTTTTTACGGATAAAATTAAGTATTTACATTTTACAGCGGGCAAGTCCTTTACGACTTGACCTTTACGCTGTATGGGACGAGAGTACACGGTAATCCTTAAAGATAAATTATGAAAATGAGGATTGTAAAAAGCCGAGAAATCGAAAACCAGAATAGGGTGTCTATTCACGTCTACTCCACATTTTAATCTATTACGTGTTTATGAATTCCCATCACGACTAAACTGATTGCTATTTTCGCTTGAAAACGGGGAAATGTGTACAGTCAATGTCTAGATACCTCAACTTAAGCAACTTTAGTAATAGTAGGTCATAGTACATTATTAAGGCGTGATGAATCAACCACCCACTAATCGCAAATATGATAGGCCGTGCTACACGTTGTCAATAGCTTAGGTTCGATATATGAAAATTGTAGCGTGAGTCTTTATGGTAATATTTCAGTCTGTATTTGGTTTGTTATTCTTTGTGCTTTAGTCTCTTCTGGGAATTCCGAGACAGTCTGGACAGTTAGAGAGGGAGCCTTGAATTCAAGTTGGAATTTTGATATATCGAACTTTGGTTATTTCGTGATGAACATTGAGTAAAATGAGCTTGACAGTGTTCGATTGGCGGAATTATAAGAAAACAATTAGATTATTTAAATATTTTATCGAATTAAGCGTCACCGTTTCATGTCATCGCGTAAAAGTCACATAACAAATGCGAAAAAACTCAACCTGCCGAAGAATTTTCGAAAAAAAAATTAACTAAGACTTGCACAGTAAAAGCTAAATTTAAAGGGTGCGTTTCTTTAAAAAAATCCAAATCCGGATTCTTGAATCCAAAAACGGATTTTGCGTTTCTTTAATAAAATCCGGAAATGGATTTTGAATCTATAGAATCCACACTCCGAGTGGATTCATTAGATCAAATCTAAATCCGGATTTTTAGGATTCATGATCCGTGCGTTTCTTTATTGCACGGATACAAAAAGCAGTACGTTTGGCAAGCGGTCGTCTTCTTAAAATCCGCCACATTCCCGCCATTTTGTTGTAAATATTAGCTGCTGCCGGCCATGGCGAATAAACAAGGTGAGTTTTTTGTGTAGTTTCACCGAAATTTTCCGTCCTGTACGTATTTTTATAAATTTTCCGGATGTTTGATGCGTCTTGGCATCTTTTATTTCTATCTACAGGACAATATTGGACGCACAGTTTATCTGCAGGTGAATATCCAGAATATCAGTGGAACGAAAGCCACGTTCAACCGGGCATTCAACCTTATCTTCCTCAGTTCATGTTTCCACCACCGCAGGCATCACAGTTCAGCCATGAAACAGTCAGATCAGTATCACCTCAGCCTGGTCCAAGTTTTTCTTCTTTGGAAACAGCTGCAGCCACGTTCAGTCAGTCGAGTGAAGGCACCGAAGGCGAATCGAGAGCTCTTGTACGCTGGTCTAGAGCTGATGTGCTGTTGTTAATTTCCTGCTATGTCGAACGCAGAGAACGATTTAAAGATATAAACAAAAAGAACAAGTCCCTGTGGGAAGAAATCAGCGAAGAAGAATTAAAGAAGAACGGAGTGTTCTTTAATGCCAAGGCGTGTGAGACGAAATTGAAAAATCTGAAGAGAAGTTATGTTGCTTGTGTTGATCACAACAAAGTCAGCGGAAATGACCGAAAGAAATGCAACTTCTATGACGAACTTCACGAAATATTTTCGAAAGATGATGCCATCGCTCCAAAAACATTGTGCAGCAACATTGATGGTAAACGGAGCAAAGATGCAGTCAAGAGTGTTAAAAATTCCAGTTCCACATTGAGTTCCACAGGTAGTGACACAGAGGAGCCTGTGGTTACAAAAGCAAAGAAAAAGAAGTTACCAGAGCGGAAGAAAAGAGAAGACCTCGTTGGGCTCTTTTAAGGAATTTACACAAGACAGGAAAGAGGAAGAAAAGGAAAAGATTAAAAAGTTTGAAAATATGCACAATGAACGCATGGCACTCATGGGCCGATTTTTGAATGTTTTTGAAAAATCATTGAACAAAGAGTAACCTTGATTCCATAATTTTTATTGTGTTGCAGAACATGGGATTATTTGACCACAAACATGAACATAGATACAGTAAACCTGAGTTTGTTGTCAGTATTGAGTTATCTAAAAGTTTATTATATCATACATGTTAACAGTATTATTGCAAGTTGTATTTTTTTTATCTCATACATACAAGGAACTACAACAGCAACATTAGGTGAGAGGGCCTAACTAAACTGGTTTTGATATTATTTATATCCTTTACTTTTTTTTAGCCTGATTCTCAGATGCTTCAGATCACTTGTGTCACGCACTTCCTCCTTTCTGTGCGTGACACAAGCAACCTGGACTGTCAGAGTATTAGGCTGTTACATTTGTGTTGAAAGTTTACATTTCAAGCAACACCATAAATGTTTCAGGTAGTATAAAGTGATCCATGTACATGGCTCTACTATTTTCTTATATACTTTTAAAAACAAATAAAATATTGATATTTATAGCAAAAAGACTATTATACAGTATAAACTTTATGAATGACATACACCACCTATGAAAGAAGTGTTCATGAAAAAACACCACAGTACAAAAGGTATCAATACATAAACCACTTATAAATGCTAGGTTTATGGGATCAGTCTCATTATCATGTTTCTCTTATCAACTGCTCCTACACCTGGTGGAAAGATGTCATCATCATTGTCATCATTGTCATCATCATCATTAGAGTCATCTAAAAAATCATCGATGTCATCTTCAATAATGCAAATGTTGTGTAAGATGCAAGAGGATACAATAATTTCGGTATGTCCTCAATTTTGTCAACATCCATCATTGTTTTTAGCTTCCTAAACCTGTTCTTAAAAAGCCCTATGGACCTCTCAACCACCATTCTGGTGGAACTGTGGGCAGTATTGTAACGTCTTTGTTGAGCAGTCAAACGTCCGTTGTCTCGAAATGGGGTCAACAGCCACCTCTTCAAGGGATATGCTGCGTCTCCCAAAATGTGGGAGTTGCCAGGAAAATAATTGTCTGGGTTCACTTCTACTTCTCGGCAGATCGGAGAATTACGAAACACGCGAGCATCGTGTACTGAACCAGGGTAACCACAGAAAACATCGGTTATGAATAAATCCGGGTCACAAATGACTTGTAGTTGGACGGAAAAGAAACCTTTGCGATTTATGTATTGTTCATGATTGTTATGTGGTGCTTTGATTGGTATGTGGGTGCCATCAATAGCCCCCAAAACACCCGGAAAACCCTTTTTCTCTTCAAAGGCCTCCATCACCGCTTGGGCTTTTAGACCAGTTGGAAACTTGATAAACTCATCCATTAAGTTCCTCACTATTGCTTTGCAAACTCGTCTGTAGACTCTGTACGCAGTTGCCCTGCAAACATCAAATCGATCGGCAACAGAGCGTAAACATTCTGGATTCCCAAGAATCCACAGCGTAATAAGGATTTGCTTTCTTAACTCGACCGGTGGTCTTCCTCTATCGCCGGTGTATTGAGGTAAGTCGCCGTGGACCGAAAGCAAATGTTCGAGAACTGTAACTGTATGCCGTGACATGCGGAAGTGACTTCGGAAGTCCTCCGGTATGTAACTAGGTACGGTTATTTCGTAAAAATTCTTTGTGCGAACGTGTTCTTTTCGGACGAGCTGTCCGGCCGCCAAAAGGAATAAAACTGCTTCGTCATCGGCTCCTAAAAGAACCTGTTGTTGTTCAAGGTCATCGGCAAGGACTTCTTCGAACAGTTCAAACATCAAACCAAAACTTTCCGCCATTTTGAAAACTCCCCCCAAAACACGCGAACTGCATGCTGGGGTCGTTACGGCTAATTGAAAAAAAAATCCATTTTCGGATTTTTCGTGTCTTTAAAAATAACGAATCCGCATGATCTCGGATTAAGAATCCAATCTTGGATTTTTTTAAAGAAACGCACCCTGATTCAGTTACAAGACGAAATATTGTTGAGGCCTACGCTGGGATCTAAAGTCGCCTTAAATCGCCTTAAGTCGCTTTAAATCATTATACTTTCTAAGAGGTGGAAATTGTCTAATAGTTACTACTTTTCTAGTTTCCTACTTGAATTTCCAGAATGTATGATTCCGCATAAAGTGTGTAATAACCCATGTTCAATAATATTAGCCACAGTTCCACCCCACCCCACCCCCAAAAACAACTCCTACAGTGACTTATCATGGCCCATCAATTCCTTCTCCCGCCTTTTAATTGAGACATTGAATTACTTTAGGCAATCTAATACACAAACTAAATAGCTGCAAGCAATGCAAGAATAATTATTCCTGTATTGCTTAGGCAAAAATGACACAAAAGGTATTTCACTAATTTCTTCGGAGTAAAAGTGTTGTTGAACGGCATTCAAAGGTTCAAGTTCCAGCTAAATATATTAAGCAGTGTGCAAAGAGGGTAGTGTCCAGGCAATAGCCTGAGCTACTGGATCTTATTATTGGACTGGTGAACTCCGTTTTCAACTTGCCTAGCTCACCAGTGAATTATTTTAGGGAATTCAAATTACAGAGCTGTAATCAATTCCAGCTAGTCAAAATGGCTTTCAGGCTAGTGCATGCTAGGTGCAGCTGTCGGAACAGCAAGTTGTACAGCTGACTTCCTTTGCAGCCTGAATGGACTATAATTTAAAAAAATGAAAGTAATTTTTCTACTGCTTTGTGAGAGTTAATCTCATAACCAGTGAAAGACATTCCAGAAAACTAAGATCAAAAAAGGTAAGTTGCACGGAGATAAAAACCAATTATTGCCGCCACAACATCCATCTTACGTCTGGTAGGTAGGGCAAACAAGTTACAAGGCAAGGTTAAAGGTCTATGTCGAAAAAAGTGTCCAACTTAAACTTAATCCTTACCCAGGTACAGATTTTAAGAGCAACCAATACTAAGTCATTGTTCCAGCGCACAACTTCTGATCTGTATTTACCATCGAATTATATTCATCTATGAGTCATACCCACAATCACTCTTATATACTTGAACACTTAGCTTATATAGTCGTCTCTTTAGTTCTTCCCTTCCAGACAGATACAAACTCAAGCTTTGTCTCCAAGTGTATCGTTCCAACCAATAATAAGGCGTGTGAAATGGCTTTGTTTATGTTTTCGTGATTGCTCCCTGTCAAACGATTTGATGTAATCGACCATTAAACTTAAGTAAGAACGTAGAAACGCAAAATGATGCAGCTCTTTCCTCTGTCCTCAATATACGGCTCATCCATAGCACATGGCCGCCTGAAAGTGTGGTGTTTTGGTCACATATCAAACTGGTCTGGAGTTGGGGAGAGGGCTGGGGCGAGAAACAATAGACTGCAGAGGAATTCTAGGAGATTCAAAATGGCGGCTTATTGATACGTTTCTTGCTTTTGAAGATCTTCTTCCACTGGGAATTTCGGATATTATAATGGAAACGTTTACACTTGGTATTACCAGCTGTTTAAACATGAACGCTTTTTTTTATGCTGATAGCGTAAACGCTGCCACGTGGAACAAAGCGAGGCTGTTTTTTTGAGTTGCTTGTGTTTTTGCTGGTAATGGATTCATGCAGATTCATGAAATCAACCCGACTGGAAAGTTTTCAAAGAGACCGTGGAATTTATGGAAAGCGAGTACGGTTCACGAGCAAAGCAAGTATTGGCAATATTGGAGTGTTTTCTTTGATTGAGACAGGAAAGGAGCAATATATGGTGAGAAAGGCCAACTTTAAGCTTGTATCCGAATGCAACTGGAAAAACACTTTGAAATTCTTTAATCTGCCAAACATACATGTATGACGGAATGAGGACAAACATTGGCAGAGAACTTGCCACGCAATACAATGGGGATCGTCATTTCCATAATTTGCATTTTTGATAAGTGATTTGATATTAACTATTTTAATGTTTGTTTAATTATTTCATTTTATTTTATTTGTTTGTTAAATTATTTTAATGTTTGTTAAATTATGAAGATGGACACTTTAATATAAGCTTAGAGTTTTTTTTTTACAAACCAGCTCTCCACTTTACAGAGGTGCTTTGAAATAATATACTCAGGCACATGCAATCTCCTATCTTTTAGGTGACATTGCATTAGGTGACATTGCATTGCATTAGGTGACATTGCATTGCATTACATTTTCATAAGTCTCAAACTTTTTTAACTGAAGTTTGATGATTATTTTTACACCATTACATCACCCTTGGTAAACAAAATTGCTTGCCTTTCGGTCATTTCAGGGGGGTTATTTTTTGGGAAAAGAAATGCAGGAACCATTTTTTTTATCCCTTATATTGTAAAATATTGCATTTAAAGGCTAAGAGAAACTTTACCCTTTTAGTTTGTTTCTAGTTCAACACCTTGATATTAGACTGCGCCACAGATGGAACTAAACTAACTCTGGGTTAAGTCCATCTGCAGTGCTGCTTCGCAGACCTTACTAACCTGTGTTAGATAACATCTGCGATGCAGGCTACCTTGATATTTAATGTTCAAAATATAAGTTAGAATCACCATTTTACTATTAAATGTGTTGAGATTGTTGGAATTTTGGGTGTTTAATAGATGTCTCCAAGACTGACTGTCTCCATAGACAGGTGGTGTTATCAGTAGATGTCAATGTTGTATAAACTGGCATTTAATTCACCTAATAGGTCACCTAAAGTCGCCTTAAATCGCCTTAAGTCGCATAACAATTTGAGCAAATTTTCCTAAAGTCGCCTTCAATCGCCTAAAGTCGCCTAAAGTTACGGCGACTTAAGGTCCCAGAGTAGGCCTTTGTTGTCCCTTTTGTTTGATAAAAGGGACAGTCGACTCTTTTCAGCAGTTGCATTCTTGGATAACCTCCGTTAACAACCTAATAAGGTCTGCCTTTCTATCTTTTGCTCGGAAAGGTACTTCAAAGTGCCGAAGAATAGTCTTGAGCATTGCAACATTGAAGGCCTGTAGTTTTCCTTCCTTGTGATAGGCGGAAAGATCATATGTGTCATATACTATCGGATGCTCTCGCCCAATATAATTCTGCTTTGAATATCGTCAAGCAAATTGTTGCAATCAGAGTCCCCAATGAGGGCGTCGGTAATCTACCCATCCGAGAAAATTTGGTAATCACGTGACCGTACACCGAGCGACCGTCCGTCCGTACTACAGGCATACCAATGTAAAATAACTCAATCAACAGGTATGGCAACCCAAATGCAACTCAAGGTTTTATTTGGAAGGAAGTCACATGGCCGCCCGGACTTTTAGAAGAAAAAGCAACAACAAAGTCGTGTCTTTTTCGGCGTTATTTTTTATGTTTACACTGACGTGGACAACAGAGAAAGAGCTAGAGCGAGTTATTGAAAACAAAGGAGACGAATTTCGTAAGAAGAAAACATGGAAAATTCAAAGCGGCGGTGAAAAAATGAGAAATGCTAGCGGCCAGCAAGGTGAAAATGAGCGGCAATGAAAAATAAAAGCAAACATGAACACAGGAAACAAAATATTGGGTAAGCACATACGAAAACTCCTCCATAAAAATAATGTGTAACTAGGAAGTTTCACCTTTTAGTCGTACAAAACAGCGTTGTAGTCGTGCAAAACAACGGCAAGGGAAAGACAAAAAAGCGTGCTGCACGTGCAAATTTGTTTTTTGCTAATTAGCAGAAAAACTGTGCTGCACATGCAATTTGTTTGTTTGCTCAGTAAATAGATCTATTAGTCTTGAAGCCATTTTCATTGTCGTCCCCGTTTAACATTACACGATTTAATTTTTTTGGTTTACACGTATTATTGACCAGAGCTTCGCTTTTAGCCCTGGCAAAGTCTATATATATTATCAAATGTCTGTTCCTTTGATACAGCATCCTGACCGGGAGTTCTCTGCCGTGAAGCGAGGCGTGAAAAAAAAAAACATTATTTGGGTCTTGGTGAGCCACTCCTCTCTTTGAAACAATCTTTCATTCCGTTCATTTCGGGCACTGCGCACTTGATGTTTGATCTCTTCTGGATTGGCTTTTTGCCCCTTCTTTCTCCCATTTCAAACCTTGTTGTAAGGTACCGTCTCACGTTCTCAGAAAAACGAACTCCGCCAGTTCTACCTTTGTTAAGAGCCCATCCGATACTTATACGAGAATTTGTGCTGTTTACAGTCAGACCAGTGGAGGATTTGTTGCTTGTTAACTTTTGGTTCTCAATAGACTTCCTAATATCATGTATTCCTACGTCTGTATGCAACTCAAGTTCGGAGAAAGAGTCAAAAGTGCAATTACAGCCTTCTTCAGGGCACACAAACATCGATGGCTGATCACCAATTTCAACGTCGTCTTTACTTGCTTGACACTTTCTTGGACGATGAAGGTCTCTTATTTCTGTGTTGGTGAAGAATCCTTTTCCCTCCATTAATGATACATTTGTGCAACCCTGGTGCCGTATGTACAAAGATTGCCAAGGGATAAGCCTACCGACCTCAACAGCGTAAGCTTTCCACACTCTTATCTCACTCTCTTTGTATCTAAAGTTGTGCAACTCGCTAAATTGTTTTATCTTCTGAACCTCAAGAATTTTGGATGACTCATCCAAAATGGCTACAGCGGCTGTTGTTCCTTTGACAGGCCGTTCCTTAAGCGCCTCTTGCATTGCTCCTGCGTTCATGATGTCATGGCCTTCCGCGCAATTACTTTCTTATTGCTGCTTTCATGGGACAAAACACCCTGTCACAAACAACCTTTCCTTGCTGGGGCTCTGAAAAATCGTAATGTGCAACTGTAATTCCCACTCGATCTCCAATATCTTTGACTGCTGCTGATTGCAATGGTAGCAGCCAGCCTCGTCAGAACGTAGAAATGCCTGCTTAACATTTGGAAAATTTACTTTGATGTTTTAAAAAGGGTTTTCTAAAATAGATTCATCCGCATATCAATCTTGACAACACGAATCTAATAAATGGGCATACGACAGGACCTTAGCTTTCTGAGTTTCTTGGTCTTTTGAGATCACACTGCTTATATGCCAGCTATGGCCTCTTTTAGCAAACCATTCACTTTGTTTTTCTCTGTATTTCATTTGAAGAAATTTCATCGCCCAGTCAATAACAACAAGGACTGATTGGAGGGCTTCTCGTTTAGCAGATTCTTGGTTAATAGAGTGTAAGGCATGAGATTTCCAAAGAAAAATGCCATTCTTAGATCTTTCAAAATCGTAAAGAAGATCATGCTTTTGTTCTTGGCTGTAAAGATGCATGGCTAAAGTGTTTCTTTATACTTTCTTCCATCTCGTCCAACGTTGCCTTCATTTGTTCGCATTGTTCATATTGTGTGTGTGAGGACTGATGGTTGAAGCATGGACCAACTGGATCGCTTAACGCAAATTTTCTGCGGTGGTCTGGGCACTCACTCTCCTCTGCTGAACAGTTCACTTTAAACTCCGTCTTCAGGTATCCTTTGCCATCGTTCAATCTCTTTGCCAGTTCTGTAACTATTCTTTTGTCGGCACGAGCCTGATTCAACTCTTCCAGAATACTCAATAGCCACTCAAAAGATGCGACCCCTTCTGCTGCAATGTTGTCCAGACCACTGAGAGACTTCTTCTATGAAGCCTCTCTTACTTCAAGAATGCGAAAAAGGGTTGAGCGGCTAGCCGGTTCAAATGATTCTTCTTTGCGATGTTGAAGGTAATACATAATCATGGTCTATCTAGTCGCGGTCCGGATTACGTTTGGCATTGTTATTTTGCCTCCCCCATCTAAGGTAGAAATAAGGACGGTTCCAAACTATATAAAGTGGTTGACTTTGCTTGTGTCTAGACGTACTCGATGGCTGAATACTTTCGGGACATTTGACCCAGGCCCTCGTTTCCTTGCATGCAATCTCGTTCTTTTTATTTGTCTCAAACTTATCTTTTCATAAGGTTCGTGGAATTTCTGTAACAGCTTCATGGTATACCGATAAGCGTAGATGCTGAGTATTTGAATCTTAACATTCTTTGACATGGCATCTCGATATGCAGACATCAAAGCAATAAGATCCTCTGTTAGTTCATCGAGATCGTTCGCATAGGCTGGTGTACCGCTTGAAAAAGCTTTTTGCCATCTTTCGGAGCTATAACACTGCAGATTACTTTACATCCTTTCGTTGCTTTCGCTATGCAAGTTTTTCTTTCATCCGGTATTACTTCCTCCCATGTCGTGGACAGTTGGAATGTTAGTGGCATGAGGTCGTCCCTTTTTGAATGTCTAGGTATTTTCGCCATTCCCTCGTTGAAATCAGCAACGACATCATCGGATACTTCAGGAATCTCGTCTGTATGTACGTCTTCCGGCGAACTACCACTTCCAATCCCACTCCAACATCCAGGCGTCCAGTTAGCGTCTGCAAGCCTGTCTGTTTGTGGGGTCTCAGGGGCGAAAGTTTCTTTTAGCAATCTGATAGAATAGAAGTCGTCTTTAAAATTTATTTTGTCAATACTGTACTACAGTTCGCCAAGAGTTTGAAACAAAACATTTTGGCTATTTTGGAAAGTGGACGCAATATTATATCACCCTTGATAAAGAACCGCCCCTATTTAAGCCCCGCCGTGAAAGCAAAAAAACACAACCCAAACATGACACTCTTCCTAAAACAATGTTGGAAACGTATTTTTCTGCCTAGCACTGTTTTGTAGTTCGGAACAGCGAAAGTTAGCAAACCCATTTTTTTCACCAAAAGGAACCATCTTTTTTATAAATCTATGAGGAGCGCCGCCCTCAAAATAATCGCATTCCGCAAATGAGCGCTGCAGCTAAGTCGCAAAATCGGAATAATAAATGCCGCAGCGCGTAATTTAGTAAACGCGATGTGTACCTTTGGTCCTGAAAGGGTTCAAATGCCGATCCTTTTAAGAGTGTTTAGATATCCGAAGACCTTTTAAGGGTTTGTTCAGATGTCAATTTTTTGCATCATCAACATTGAGAATGCAGGAATCTACAAGGAGAGGTAGATAACCGCCAACAACGATCGTTTACCTGTTTCTTAAGCCGTAAGCTGCATGTAGAACTGTGATGCCGATCGCATTCTCCTTCCTTATCAGGATCTAACTTAAGCCATGTCCTACTTTTGTCCATCACTTCCTTATGTTTGCATCTACAGCCCCACAT